TATATATATATATATATATATATAAACATATATACATAAATAATAAAGAACTGAATTGAGGCACATTAATTTACAGTGATTGATTAAAAAATTTGATTAGTTAATCTTTTATAAAAGGATATATTGAATGTTTTATACAGTCATGTGAAGGTTAGCTGCTGATCCCTGTTCCGTCCCAACACAAATGACACTAGATTGTGTGTCAGGAGTCTCCATATACTCAGCATATCTAGCTGCAGAAGTCTTTATTTTGTTATTCTTTACAAATGCTTTGGAAAATTAATTCATCCTGAATAAAACATGTGTCTTTCTACTGTTTATGCTCCAAAGCCTCTAATGACCCTGCTGCAATCTACTCTGAGATCATGATGTATGTCCTGCTGGTGTTCTTGACCTTATGGCTGCTGGTGGAAATGGTCTACTGCTATAAGAAAATCTCCAAGTCTGACGACCAAGCACAGGATGCACTGTGAGTCTTAAACAGATCCACACACTCAGATCAATGTGATATGAGAAAAACATACAGCGGTCAGCTGTGATATACAGCTCTAGATATGAATCACATTTGCTTTCATTTCTTGTTGTTATATAATGCTAATTTAAAATCCCACACGTCAGCTGCTGAGATTTAATGGGCTGTCAGAAAGAGAGACTAACAGACATGGGAATAATTGAAACTTGAGTACATTCCGTGCCCTGGTTTTTAACCCTCTTACATCTTTAATCGCTCCTTTCTTCTAACGCAGCCAGCCAGATACACCTGAATTATTCCAAGCTGTGCTGAGCGTTCGTTTTTTACAAGCTTTTTACAACCAAGCAGGAGTTTCAGCACCATTGCAAACTGGCTTTTTGTGTCACCTTGACTCAAAGCCACCTGTGCAGTCAGCTACAACTGGATTTACACTGATTGAGCCAACCCATGCACCGCTGAGTTTGTACAACAAACAAAAAACAAAAAAACAACAGTTTTCATTTACTAAAGTGAAGCAAATACAAAAATACACAACACAATGGTTGAAATAGAAAAAGGAACTTAAAGAGCATTTTTTTTGTGTGTATTTATTTATTTTTGCTAGGAAATATTTTAAAATATAGTAGCTTGTTTCCTCTGGAAATTATGAGGTCAGCAGTAATTTTAAAGATGTGAACTGATCATCACTGCATTAACTGACCCTGATATATATTTGAATTCTTAATAAGATTCTTTTACTTTAGCCAAAGCACATTAAGGTAATTAGATGATGTTAAACATTTGCAGAGACTTGTGGCCTGGCAATTTCTTTATCAAACGAGACCAAAGTCAACCATGAAAAAGTATCTAGCTTTTAGAATGGGTTAAGTAGGTAGTCTATTTAGTTTAAACATATTAACTGTAATATGTGAGATAACCTTAATCTGATGACAGCTGTAGATGGGAAGAGACAACAAAAAGAAAGACATCATTGAATCTTTTGTTGTAGATGGAGGCATTTTTTGTGCAGCATATTCAAGAGGCTGAGAGCTTGCTGATATATAATGAATGATTGTCAACTTTTGGATGTGTAATTCATTGTTAATGCAACATGCAGAAGACTTGTGCAAAAAAGTATTGTGCAATTAAAAAAGAAATGTATGTTAAAAAAGTTATACCAATCTTAAAAGAAACATTTTGTTATGTACCTTTAAGAAAAGAGAACTAAATCAATTTTAGACACTCCTCTTTTTTCCTGCAGGACAAACTACCTAGCCGTTCCTTCTGAGCAGAAAGACAATCCGGTTGCTCCTGCTACCAAATAAATGACACGGTATTTTACATGTGATCATTTGTAACTATAATCATCATGACTGTACAGCCTTGTACAACAAAATTATGTGGTCTCAGCCATCTTTGTGTTTCATTCTTCATATTCCATTTTCAAAGAGCGTTCATATCTGTCCTCCTTGGACTCACCTAATCTTTTTAATCAATATTTAAAACTCCTTTTAGATTTTTCATATTAAAAAACATATTATTTTCTTATCATTTTCTTTTCAAAAAGTTAAGAAGACAAAACATGCATGTTTTTTTTTATATTGAGCCCATGCCTACGATCTTTCTGGATAAACAATACATTACAGGATGTATGCTGTAAACATTGTAAAAACTGATATGTGACTTGTGTGATGTTTACATGATAAGTAGTGCTCCATACTTTTTGTTTATGCGAATTAGATGGTTTAAGATATAAAACCTTTGTTAAACCTTGGAGATACAGTTCCTCCAAATGGTAATCATACATCTTGAGCTTTATCGCTTTTTGTATCACAAACCTTAGTTCAGTTATAGGACTGATTTGACAGACCAAAGTAATTACCCTGGTTAAATTGTAAAGACCAATAAATATGCTTATTACCAAATATCTAACAAATAATTTGTTTCACTACTTACGTTAATTAATCATAAAAAGGCATTTATGGAATAAAGCCAGAAATACACTTTGCATGTATTTGTTTTGATTTTTTGTTGGTTTTCACATAAAATTTCTGATAAAGCATGTTAAACTTTATTGTTTTAACTTGCACCATTAAGTTTTAAGAGCTATGGACAGCTTTGTAAGGCACTGAATGTCCCTTACAATTATATATAGAGTTTTTTATTTTTTTTATTTTAAAGTAGACTATTTTAAAGGCTTTTCAAAGTATTTATTTATTTTTCTTTATTTATATTTAGTTCAGTACCTGATCTTTATGAGATGGATGATTTTCTGCATAGCTCAGAGAAGGTCAGTGCTTCTTTTTATTTATTTGTTTATTTACTAACCATGAATTTCATTATCGTGTAAAACAGCCTATGCTGATGTTGAAGCTCACATATCACTTAAAAGTCTTTAAAATATTGCAATGAGACCAGCTGCCTCAGTTTTAAATTATTTTGTAGAAAGTTCAAAGCACAAGGTTCAGTTAATTTAAAACCGTTCTTACTCCACATAGATCAGAATTTTGGAACTGACAACTAAAACAAGCAAGTCAGCATAGAGAAGAAGATTAGAATTGTTGCATATCTGAGAAATATGCATTTCTAAATATTAAGGAGCCGGACCAGAAAGACGCTTATAACTTAGTAATTACAGTTGCCAAGACTTGGTGAACTCCAAAGAGGCCCAAATAGACAGTGATGTAAAATTGGATAAACGCTGTCTAAGGAGGTTTGTTGATTGTTTGTTGCTTCTTTCAAATAAGTTATGCGATTCAAATGCATAGTTTGAAAAAAATATCAAAATTAAACAGTTTCACTCTCTTAAAATCTGACATTATCACCAACAGTATCATTACCAAAAAGCTAAAAACCTAGCAAACAGCAGTTATCAGATACACCTAATACATTTCTTGTCCCATCTGGTCTTTGATGGGTATTCCATTTCTAGAAGTCATAACATAACTTCTATAAATACATAACTAATTTGTACATACTATTTCAGTTTAACTCAGATAATCATGTCCTTCACTCTCTTTAGGTATTGACCACTCAGGATAATGGCACAGACTGCCCAATCCATTCGGTGCCACCATGAGGACAAGTTTCTCTGACAGCCATGTGACTCCCCCCAGCTGACCTCCCCTGTATATCCACTGTGTCTTAAAACAAAAAGTGCTATATTTTCCTTTCTTTTCCTTTCCTCTACGAAGCTCTGGGCCTCTGACATCAAGTGCTTTTACTAATACAGTAGCTTAAAGAGCAAGAATGTCCCATTCCCTATTATCTGATGAATATAGCCATGTTGTACATTATACAGATCTGCTGATGTGTAGATGTTATACCTGTTTCCTAACAGCTAGTGTTTGTGACTTTTGTACCTCGACATAAAGTGCATAATCTAATGAGAAAATTGGCTGTTTGAAAAGCACCTATACTGACTCTTTAGTACTTTACTAGTTTTTTTTTTTGTTTTTTTGTTTTTTTTTTTGTTTATACCTTTTTATAGACCTTGTGATTTTTCAGGTCATGGTTTTGTTTGTAGTCACCAAAAGTATTTTTCTATTGATTGAACTGAAAAGCTTTTCTACCATTCGTGGGTGCGTTTTCTTTGCTAAATTTTTATTAGGCCTTAAGGCGTAATGGAAACATACATAAAAGATCTAGCTAGAAAAATACTATTTCTTTTGGCTAAATTAATTAGATATTTCCTTTATTTGCAGATGTATACATTTTTAATCCATGTTCAGCTCTGATGTCAAAGTGCAGAACACTCAGTAAGTTTTACTGCACTTAGTGCTTGTAAATGTATTCTCGGAGCTTTGACTGTTGCTAAGCTTTAGTACTGAGAATCGATGTGTGCCTCGTTCGATGATACAGAACTGTAGATTTTTTTTTCTTACCTGATTCAGAAATGTCAAGTCATTCTTGGTCTGTTACAGATATAATAATTCATCTGTGGTAAGCAATTTTTCGCTCTTTATTAAATACACATTCCACTACATGATTTGTTGGTTTTCTATTATTTTTGAAAAATGTCCACAGATATATTGGTGCTACTGCCTAAAGGTCAATTAAAAAAATAATAGTATTGCATATGATAACGAAAATTATACTAAATATGATATTGGTCAAACAATCATTGGAAAGGCTGCTGACAGCTACCCATGGGCATGGGCTGTAATGATACTTTGTTTTTATTAAACTACTCCCAAACCAACGTCTGCTGTGAAGGTGTCACTCATGGACTGAGGATAATTGAGATTGGTATCAAAGTGCATTTTTTATTTCTTTAAGAAAAGCGGAGAGGCATAAAATCTAAGCTGCTTTTGGTCCAGTGTAATGTTTCCACAGTCATTAAGGGAATTGGGCTTGTAATGAAATTTGCTTATGTTGGTCCACTATGTTTATTAAGTTCAAAGTCATACCAAACATCTACAGTATTAGGAAATCTCAGGGAAGTTTGAAGATGGACCCAAAATGCAGAGGAAGCAGAGATGGGTTCTTGCAGATTTCTTTAGATGATGTGAGCAAAATTATATATCCAAAGTTAAACAAGGCAAGGAACCAGAGCAGAGTAACACAGGAGCTGAGTAACATAAATTACAGAGTAACTGCAGAGGAGGAGTATATATACTGGGGAGGAGAATACAGAACAATGCATGTAGTAATTACTTAACTGGGAGCAGGTGTGGACAGAAAGAGCTGGAAGGGAACTGAGGGAAAAGGAAATTGGCATTTGGGGGCAGTGGAGAGCAATCAGGGAATGTAACATGGCTTAAATTTTACTTGGAAAAAACTTTACTTGGAAAAAGGAAAATAAAACTAATGACTAAGAAACACAGATGAACGAGTGAAAATTAGAGGATGTGGAAAGGACTGAAGATAACTTATGGTATAATAATGCCTATAATACCAAAGAAACATAATCTAAATAAAACTGTAAACAATAAATTATTAAAAAAGCAAAAAAAAAAAAAAACTAGAAAACACCAATTAACAGTTAATCTAAGAAGTAAGGAAAATATGATAAATCCAAATAAGAACACAAAGTAGACATAATTCAGAGAGTTACATGAAATAGAATAATAAGCAAAAAATATGTCTCCAAAACAAGGCAGACCATGGCAAAATATGATTCAACACAATATATTAAATAATAACAGAATAATATAAATCTAAGCGTAACCTAAAGGCCAGAGTGAAAACTTGAACAGAACCAAAAGTCCTGATTAGCAGATCATGACAGGAACTGAGGGACAGAGAGAAGCATGGAGATATTCATGAGCTGAGGACGCCAAGGACGCTGTCTACCTGGACTGGATCCTTCGAAGTCTATGAAAATAAGGAGACTGGAAGAGTTTTGGCTGTGAATTCAAACAGGTCCAGCCTTCAGCGGCTTTTACCGCCGTGCGCTCTGTCGCCTAGCAATCGTAACAGTTGACACACAAAGCAGGAAAAGTGTAAATACCAAACTTTTCAAAACTGTTTCTATTTATTTTTATTTTATGTTTTTTATTGTAAAGTGAACAATGACTACACTCAGGAGAATACAGAGTGGAATAAAGGTGACAACCACCGGGAGCATGAACAAATAAAAGCAAATGTAATGATATAAACCATAGTCAGTTAAATAACACGCTGGGGTCATTTGCACATCCCTGATGTTGCTGCTATTTTCATATATTCATTACTGTAAAAATGTCCATAGCTGTATTAGCTGTATATTGGTTATTTATTCTCCAGGTGCACAGTTTTTTATATTGCTAAAACACTTTACAGTACAGTATTTTATTGTTTATCTTTTAACTCTTCAATATTGTTATTCTTATACATTTTTATTAGGTCCACATTTGTGTGATCATTTTTTTCTATAATCTTTTTGCTGCTGAAAACACCAGAATTTCCCCCTTCTGGGACAATAAAGGGATTTTCTAATCTATTCTATAAAAGTAAATCTAAACAATGTATGTATAAAAAATATAAATCCAAAATCTCTTATTTCCAACAACAAAAAATACCTAGTTAAGCAAATTGTGCAAAATAGCATTTGATAAGAATCATATCAGATTTTAAGTCCCTACACTGCAGATATATTAGAATCTGTCCTTAAATTACAGCCAAACCCATTAAACAGTAACAGATAAAAACCCTTAGATATGTCAAACATTACCCACCACATATCTGACTCTATAACTATTTAAAACGACTACGTTCATCAATTTCAGATGGAACTATTCACATACTGTATTGACAAATATTTGAATATATTAAACTAAACTTCCTTTAAAGAATATGTTGGTGAAGTCAGCAGAAGGAGAGTGCCGATGCCCATTATCCAAATCTGGTACCTGGCAGCCACCAATCCATGCATTTTTGGATGACCTCACGGTAACTACTACATCAGTGCCTGGGTGCAGATGGTTGCTGCAAGGCCTGGATAGACTCATCTCTTGGGCAAGGATGAGTTTCAAGCCTGGGAAGTCCAGATCCCTGGTCTTGCGGAAAGGGAAGGTGACGGACCGCTTCCGCTTCAGCTTGGGAAATACCACTATTCCATTTGTGTCTGAAAAACCAGTGAAGAGCCTTGGAAAGCTCTTGATCTGAAGGACACCACTGCATGGCAAGCAACCAGCTCCAACCTTAACCAGTGGCACCTAGCTGTTGACAAGTCTGGACTTCCTGGGAAGTTCAAGGCCAGAGAAGTCCTTCTCTACAGAGACTCCACTGATGGGAAGGTGTCTTCAGCAGGGATAGAGGTCCGCACTGGAAGGAAGTGGCTTGCCAAGTATGCAGTGGAAAGAGCCTGCGTCACAGCACCCATGGTGGGTACAGTGGCCAAAGGGCGGGCAGGGCTGGGCAGCAACCTGAAGCCCTGCTACAGCAGAGTGACAGGAAAGGACAGGCGTAAGCTCATCCAAGAGGAGGTTCAGGCAGAGGTGGAAGAGGCTTGCTTCAGCAGTGTGGTGGGCATGAGCAAGCAGGAGGCCTGGACCAAGTGGGAGCATGTTTCCAGCCGTAAGATCACCTGGACTGATGTATGGAGGGCGGAGCCACATCATTTCAGGTTCCTCGTCCAAGCGGTGTATGATGTCTTCCCAAACCCCAGTAACCTATTCACCTGGGGCCTGATAGACTCACCTGCGTATCAGCTCTGCCAGAGAAAAGGGTCTCTTGAGCACATCCTAAACTGCTGCCCAAAGGCCCTGGGAGATGGCAGATACTGCTGGCGCCATGACCAAGTCCTGCGGGCAATAGTAGATACCATCTGCACTGGCATATACACCAGCAAGAGTCAACCTCTAAGCAGGAGCATGATTGTCTTTGTTCGAGCAGGGGAGAAACTGCAACCCTCCAAGAAGACCCAAGGGGGCCTGCTCACGACAGCAAGGGACTGGCAGCTCTTGGTCGATCTGGGGAGGCAGTTACGATTCCCAGATTACATCGCAGCCATGACACTCCGCCCGGACATGGTGCTGTCATCAACTTCCACCAGGCAGGTTGTGCTGCTTGAACTAACTGTTCCTTGGGAGGACAGAATAGAGGAAGCCCAGGAGAGGAAGAGGGCTAAATACGCAGAACTCATAGCTGAGTGCCGGAGGAATGGCTGGAAGGCCCGCTGCGAGCCTATTGAAGTGGGCTGCAGGGGCTTCGCAGGCAGATCTCTACACCGTGTCCTTGGGCTCATAGGGACTTGCGGTCTGCAGAGACAAAGAGCCACCAAGAACATCTTGGAAGCAGCTGAAAAGGCTTCATGGTGGCTCTGGTTGAGGAGGGGGGAGGCGTGGCATAGTGCGCTACCTGGACACAAATTGGGGAACTGGGTCGGCCGAGTGAGGGTGTATGACTAAAACCCGAAACACCCAGAGATCTCGGGAGAGTCACTGAAGATGTGTCCAGGTTGCACCACTAGGTGTATTACAATTCCAATATTCACCACTGTTCAGCGCCAAGTACCTTTTTCCTCTGAGCATGAAGCAGCTGGCTGACTTGGTCTCACTCTAATGAACTCAGAACGTTGGACCCTGAATTTGAGGCAAGACAGGCAGTGGGAAAGTTCAAAGCGTTTATTTAAAACAAAAAGGTACGCGGGGCTGCTCGTCAGCTGCAGGGCAGATTTCTGATTCAAAGTTCAGTCCGTTCTCTGAGAAAAGAGCTGAATCCAAACGGGAGGTAAAGCCCCGGCTTGAATGGGGCACCACCCCTCGAGTTCCTAGAGAGAGATTGAAGCAGGCGCCAGCTGATGCCGAGCAGCAACAGTGCCCTTGAGGGGAAATCCAAAGCCGGAGTCTTCTGACTCCTTCTTTGGATTTCCAGGTTTAGAAGCCGGTAGAATCCAGGAATCAGTCCAGAACAGATGCGACTAACAGAGCAGACAGGGGCAAAGCAAAACTCGGGATCCACCGGGCAGAAACAGGTCATAATCAGGAAAACACAACAGACTTAGTCTCCCATTCAAATAACCTGGCGCTGATGGAAGGCAAGCACACAACATAAATAGCAGAGGAACTAGGTTGAAATGATTGGCGTTAATCAGCCGCAGAACCAATTAGACAGGGGAGCAAGGAGCAAAGGAAAAAAACCAACCATTAGCGCCAAGATCATGACACTCACAATGAATCCTGGGATACCCAAGGATAGATAGGATACATCAGACCCATCCTTCAAATGCGACAAAAAGAAGGACGCATTTGTAGGTGGCAGAAGGTTCTTAAGCATGTTTGGTTGTGGCCGGTTTGTCGTAAATCTGGCTAACCAGTTAGCAACGTACTGCTAGTAGGCTCCCAATAGGAAGTTACATTGGGACTAAGTAGCACTTAGCAACGACACTGTCAAGGAACGATTTTATGGAAGAATTATCCTGCCATAATGCAAGAGCACATGATTTCAATTTGAGAAAATAATTTCATCTTTTTGCACTCAAAACTTATNACATCGTGTCCTTGGACTCCTAGGGATTTGCGGTCTGCAGAGACAATAAGCCACCAAGAACATCTTGGAAGCAGCTGAAAAGGCTTCACGGTGGCTCTGGTTGAGGAGGGGGGAGGCGTGGCGTAGTGCGCTACCTGGACACAAGTCGGGGAACTGATCACCCCCGGCTGGGTCGCCCGAGTGAGGGTGTATGACTAAGACCCGAAACACCCAGTGATCTCGGGAGAGTCACTGAAGATGTGTCCAGGTTGCACCATTAGGTGTATTACAATCCTGTTGCATACTTAAATATTTAGTCCAAACCAGTACTAGCAAAGCATAGTCAATAAAGCGGATTGTGACTTAAGGTTTACATGCATGGATACAGAACATGTCAATAGTTCAACTGTAAGGCATAAATACTGAAGAAACAATCCTTCCTAAATGTATAAGCCTCATTCATTAGGTAAACCTTTTAGCTGCTTTTTCCTCCAACAGGTGTTGTTTCTTGCTACATCTTTATTCTACAAGAGTGTATATTTAATACAGGCCAATATAAAACCATGTAAATATGAACATGGCAGCTATGCTATAAATCACTTAAACTTCCTAATTCTAACAGGTAAACTTATATACTCAAATTAAAGTTTACCTTCTCTAAACATATAATATGTTGGACTTCAAATCAAACATTTTTGCTGCAATTACTGGCATCTCTGGTGAATATCAGTAAAATGTCCTAAAGTAAATTGATATTATGCTAAAGAAGCATACAGTTATCAATCCATGACTGCTTGCTTTGATTAAAGACGATGAAGCAGGAAATATCACGTCTTTAAGCTAATCTTTAAAATGAGGAATTTAAAAAGTATTATTACAAAAGTCAGAGGTGTCATAAGTCGGGAAATGGAGCCCTTCATTACAACAATAATTTAGTTCAGATTTTTGTGTGAGACCTTATTAGGGCTGACAATAGTGTTTGATTTCAGCTCTATAGATAAGCACAACTGAATGGAAATGGAGAGACTAAAGTATAAAATGTCTTTAAACTACGAAGATAATCCAGGTTTTGTAGATTTCTTGACACAAACCTATTAATGCATCCCAGCTTTAATTCTACATTTGCTCTCTTATATGCCTTTTTTTACGAATGTTACAAATCTGGAATGTCTGAATCAGTTTTATAATATTCTGGAAGACTTAGTGAAAATTAAAACCTCAAGCTTTTGAGTCCTGAAAGATTATTTCCAGGATAGAAATGATAAAAAGTCAGAAACAAACACTCCCCCAATCATAAACAATCACTTCTTTAATATCAGGCAGGACCTTTAAATAAAATTGACTTCATTGTCCCACAGCAGCTGAAGCTTAGTTACTGGAAATAACTTTTTTATAGCTTGTATAAATAATGGTCTGAAATAGTATATTAGCAGAAATGTACTCTATGGCCTGTAGTATAACTAAAGTGCAATATTTGATTATTTTTCTTAGTCATGCCTCCACTGGATATGAACATCTCACACTCCTGATAAGATGTCCTGCTTGGTGAGCTGCACCAACAAATAAGACCAAAAAAGCTTTATTGGTTGTGAAAGTCAGAGACACCCTTAAACTAAATCTTTAAGAAAGAACTTTTGTACTTTATATTTACCTGCTCTTTGTAAAACGCTCAAAATCTACGAGGACTGGATCATTCTATTATTTTAAATCAGATTTTGGTCTAAGCTCCGCTGCGCTAATCCACATAAACATATATTACTATTTTATATTTCTGAATTAGGAATGGAAGTTTGGCTTTTATTTTGGAAAAGTGTCTTTTGTGTTTCATGTTTTAGCTTAAGTTGGCATGTATGTCATAAAATGCCTTATACTTGCCTAATTTTATCTATTTATTCAGTTACAAAAGAGACATTCTTAGTTTTTAGTTTATATTTCATCAAAACTATATTTTCATATCAGAACCAGAAATAAGTAAACTCCTTTTGTCTGACCCTCCTCCTCGTTTTCACAAAATAGTCTGATCCGATATCCTCACCTTTTAATTGGTCATAAAGTGGCGAGCCGAGCTGCTGAGTGAAGACTGAGCTTTGAAAGGAAACGGGTGGGGAGACGGATCCTCTGATTCACTACGAAGCACCGGCTCTATGAGTATGACCAACCATTAACCTGGATGTATGGTTTGGATGATAAAGGGAATCTTTTCATCTTTCTAGCTGAAGCCTGAAGGTTAAAATTGAATAGAATTTGCAAATGTTCAACATTTTCACCTGCTTAACAAGAGTTATTTCAGGCTAAAGAAAAAATAAGCATCAAAGCATAATGCCGCCATCACCATGCATCACTCTGTCAGGTTTTATTATTAATGTGGTGCCAAAATTTTTCTCTTTTCTTAGTATTTCTGACATGCTACTTGGGATGTTTTCTTTGTAGAAAAGCTCTTCAGTCTTGTAATTCTACTCTTTAATCAAGGCAACTAAGAAACTAGTGTGATCATTATTAAATAGTAGACACCCAGCACAGGAAATGCTTCTGCTCATTGTGGATATTCTCACCTGATTTCTTTTCCCTTTTTTATCCACTTCAGAGGAAGTGAGTTTTGGTAATGTCCCTGTTTCATCATATTTTCTCCACTTATTGTGTTGAAATTTGTTTTGTTCTGCTGCCCTGAATGATACCTTTGGAGATTCTTTGATTAATTTGTGCAGATATTCTCAAAAGGGACTAAGAACAGATCAGGAAAAAAGAAAAAACTGAGGAAGAAATTAGTTTTATTTGAGGCTAATTAGAGGCATTTTTAATAATGAGTTTATTTTTGCATTAAAATGAAATGAACAGGTGATATTAAAGGGAAAAATGTTCTATAAATATTCATCATTGTCTTATTGTTTTACTTTAAAAAGGGATTTGTCAAGACTTTTTGCATCCACTCTAAAGAAAACAAAACAGATTTTATGGAAAAAGTAACAGAATAGACAAATAATGAACAGTTTTATAGGTTAGAGTTTTATGTTAGATAATAGGAATTTCTCAGTCCAAGGTTAGTAATTTCAAACAATTATGCTTGTGGCAGTAATTTTTCAGGCGTCTTATGTTACATTTATATCTGTAATAATAAATTACATCAGAAGACTCGATGTTCAGGATTTGCTAACAAAATGTTATGGAAGCAGAAGTTGTAGTTTGATTTATACTGCTGGTAAAATTAAGACATGAGAGGTTAAGACTGTAGTTGTAATACTGACACTTAATTTGAATAATTGAGTGAATGAGTGATCATGCATAGCAGACGCACCGTTTAGCTGTATAACTCTATAAATCACAAATGTAATCAAAACAAATGGGAGAAGTCATCATATAACAACCTGAGCCAACATGAAATGACTTCAAATTTACACAGTTACTAAACTTCATCTAAGCACATAAATAAATCTTTTCTTTATCTTAGACTTTACTTGAAAGGAAGATGAAGAACAGTAATCCAGACTTTACCTGTTGTTGGGAAAGCTTTTTGTTTTAAACATTTCACACACAGGCCTTCTGCCTAAGACAACTAAAGCACTTCTACTCTAGCTGACACACAGCATGCTTGTTACCTCAGCCTGAATCTCTGGGTCGGCTCAGGCTGCAGCCAAAGGAGTAAAAGCAAAAAAATACAATTAAACGGAAATAAAACACAAATTATGAGAAAAAAAGCACAAAACAATAAAAGCCATTTTTAACAAACTGGGCAAATTATAAAACAAATTTAAAATTTGAACATACATGTTTTCCATTCATCCTGTTTGACAAGAAACAAATGAATACTCATTAATCAAAATATATTTGAACTTTTGAAGGCCTTTCACAAATACTAAAATAAAGCTTTTACTCATAAAAATTGGTCAAACATATGAGGTTACTATTTTATTATCCCACTGCTTGTTTTATTACCGTAGTGTCCTAAGGCTGTTTGCATCATAGAGACTCTCAGTTTTTAAAGTGAGCATATATTTTAGTGTTAAACGGCTAATTCTTAAAAACATAAAACATAATGTAAATAAATCACAATCAGCTTTTGTTTGGGTTGGATAGTTAAGACAGATCTGGAGGAGAGAATCCATCTTACCCACCAAAAAAAGTATATTTTTAGTAGAAAAAGTTAGGTTTAGCTTTTTGTTTCAAAATAATGAAGTTATGGAACAATTGAAATAATTAATTTCAGGGAGTAAATAACTCAAAGCTATGGGATGAGGGCCTATGGTTGGGCTGGGAATGAAAGGTCGACCAAGCAGCCTCTTGTAAGTTTAAAATTAAGTTGTTGACAAAATGTTTTCTTTAACCAGTACTTAAAAAAAAAACAATTAAACTAGAGATATTAGCCCCATTTACATTACCTTTTTGAAACCGTGCCGAGATCGGTCCGAGCACAGTAACCGAGATAACTGTTGAGTGTAAATGGCATGCAAAACAGAACCGGACCGCACCAGACACAACCAAACCACGCTAAACTGGTATTAATTCATCAGTAGGGCTCGGCGGGGTTCAGTTCTCAGATGACAAAGAGCGCCTCAGCAGACCACCTTATCTCCTTACAGTCAGCCTCCGTAATCATGAAATTTCGGACATTCATAAAAATACTACTGTAGCTTCCCTACTGTGCCGCATGATTTCCAGTGATGAATCTGCTTAGCAGTGTGATGAGCCTCAACGTCCATCATTGTTTCCTGCATCTGTAAGTCCTGATTAGACTATCGTTTGTCGTATCCACTCCCCATAAGCCGACTCTGTCAAGTAAATTCAGCAAAGGATGCCTTCTTCACCTGACTGTACGCAAACAACAACATATCACAATGATAACATAACTTCTTGAATGTTATGGGCGCCGCAATGTTAGTTTGCTTGTTTACCTCAAGACAGCAGTAGTACCGTAGTTCGTCAGTAGGAAACGTGCTAGAGCGTAAATGGTCGTAAGGAACTGAGGTCGGTACGGATCGGTTTTCAGAGGGTAGTGCAAATGGGCCAATATCTGAATATTTTAACCTACACCATTAGCTGTAAAATTTGTTTTTTAAGCCTTCTTTTTTACTTCATTAATTAAGTATTTTTTATGGCAAACCAAATGTTTTGGTGAAAGTAATCTCCAGGTGAATAGAAATGTTTTGTTATAAATTTTAATTTATACTATTTTTGTAGTTTAACAAAAATCTTTACCATAAAATCAGACAGGCTACTGGATGTGGAGTAAACTTTCAACTGGATTAATGTGATAGCATGACACTTTGTTAGCAATATATGTTAACACAGTATTCTGTGATTTATTTATTTGGAGACGTGGGACACCAATACAAATCAGAGTAACTATGTATTATCAGGACTAGAGATTCAAATTAATTCTTTGGTCAATTACAGGCAGGCCCTGCTCACCACAGACAGATTTTAAATCAATCTATAGAGTGCTAGTTTATGAGGTCTCTAAAGTCTAGCTTTATTATTTCTCTTTTGAGGCACAAAGCTAAAGCAGTTGCCAAAACAATCTTCTGTATTTTAAACTAAAAACCCAAAGATGGTGACATGTTTTCCTTCAGAGCTTCTAGCAGTCAAGATCAGGATGCTGGTAATAGCAAGAGAACCAGTTTATGACTAAATCTGCTTCAGTTGAAAAATAATTTGCCAGGCTGTCAGGTAAAGGTAGTTATTGTGCACACATATGCCTGCACAAGGGACGTTCCTCTGCAAGATTATATCAGGATATCAGCAGACTAAACCAAACAAAACAACAACAACAAACAAAATGAATGGATGGATGATTTCCTGCTTGTTATTGCTGGCTATCACCTTCATACAGATCACTGCTCTCACTACAACAACTCTGCCTGTATCCATCCAGCCTGCTGTAGCTGCATGGAGGCAAAGAACTGGTACAGCTTTCTGTTTTACAACATTTGAAACCATTTAAGTGGAAACCAGCATCAATGTTTGCTTTTATCTCAAACAACCATTATAAGTGATGATTTTAAAAAAAAAAAGTAGTCTTTTGGTCAAGACCTTTGCTGTATGCGTTTCTAATGACTGTATCACTCATCCTACTGAGCTGAAGTGTGTACACATGTGGAGTAAAGTCTATGTTTATTTACTGTAATTAAACTGATCTAAACAGGAAACATTTACTAACTCTTGTATGTTTACTGGCCTCCTGCTTGTATGAACGTGTTGAATGTGCAAACAGTGCACAGTGGATGATTAAGTGCGTCTTCTCACTACGCTGTGTGTGTGTATTAGGGTAGTTAAATTTGACTGAGCCGAGTTGTTGACGCTGTAAAAAGTGTGTTTGTGTTTTCTGGGCTGACAACTCACCAGGAGGGAAGTAGAGCGGGAGGTTCTGCAGATACAGCTCCTTATCCGTCGGCAAAAACACGCAGAAGATGACTCTGTCCAGCTGTCACACACACACACATACAGGACACACACTTTAGCACACATAAAATGACCTTTATAACAAGCATATGCAGTAAATGTGAGCTCATCAGTTGCAGGTGGGAACTGTATGAGTGAGAATGCAGCTAATGCATCAGTCCATTACTCCACCATTATGTCTCCATTATGAAGCAGCCACGACCAGACGTTTATTACCCTGCCTGCTGAGGTCGGAGAGCAGAGGAGGAGCATGAATGTTTGTGTGAGACGGAGACACAAAAAGTTTGGGAACATACCATCAGTTTATTCGTTGTTTTAAGGACTGATTTCCCTTTAATATCTGAAAATGGTTCTATTAATAGTTCGGTCTAAAAACTATTTTTAATGTTTTCTTTGAACTTTTTCATCTATTTGTTATCCGATTCTAGATTCTGACATTTTCAACAAAGCTGAAGACGTGAAAAAAAGAGACTAAGTATCCATTATTTGGTCATGAACTTAACGCTAGGTTGACAGGTAAAGCTTTTTGCATTAGATCATTATTATGAATTTGATAAATTTTTGTATATTGTTATCATGACTGTCTAAAAAAATAAATTTCCAAGCTGGTTATTTGCTCAATTTTTGTTTAATGCAAAATAAAATTCCTAATTTGTTATTACAAAGTAGAACCAGCAGAAGTGTGTTTTAAAAAGCAGCTAGTTTGGAAATCTTGAACACCGAACAAGCTAAAACAACAGAGATGTTGCCAGAAAAATATTGAAATATGCTTAAAAAAAAAAAAAAACAGAAAAAAGGAAAGGAAAACAAAATCTGGAACACATTTAATTTTTAGCCCAGTTTTACTCCAATAGAGGTGAATAAATGCTCACCTTGTTACAGCTGACTTTAATATTACTAATATTCAAAATAATTTTTATAATTTGCTGACTCTGAAGTGATATGAGACATGCACTGGTTAGTATGTTGGCACTTTAAACATTTCTTTATAGTTCATGTAACTGAATTTTTGTATGTTTGTATACACTCAGTTTTGTTTGTTTGGACTGAGAAACAGGACAGTTTAGGGTTTTCCTGACTGCAGGTCTGATGCTGTAGTTAGGGACAGACCGACACATCGACCAATGGATATTCTTGGTTGACATAATTTCTTTGTATCAGTATTGGCCAATATATGCATGTTTGGGCTGATTCTTAAGCACATTAAGCAGTTATGCCTTTAGATCATACAGGGTGCATGTACTGGCACTCCCCTCTAGTTGCAGTCAATTGTTAATATCCAGTTTGATTTGTTAATTAAGGTTTATTTTTTTTAAACTGAACAACAAGCAATAATCTTTTTGCCTTAAAACAGAGCGTCAGAGTCAGCAGCAGCTCTAACTCCCCATACCAACATTACTCCTCCTCTTTGTCCCAGTTAAGGTGAGCAACACTGATCACAATGACAGGCCAGTTTGCATCATTATATTGATTTTTCTGTCTATTTTGCTCTTTGTTACATTATAACAAATAAAAGAAAATGTTGATTACTAACAGAAATTCAAACACACTTTTTCCATAGATAAAGATCATTATAAAAAGATTAAACAAAGGAGCCTACTGTCTGGGCAGCTGGGGGACATTAGGTAGATTGTCTCAGCCTGTATGGAAATACATATAATATTAAAAGATTATAGTTTGATGTTTTGTTTTTTCTTGATTAATGAATTTATAATCAAGAAGGCTTGAGGCTGGGTTCTTGGCAAGTCATGGTCTGTAAAGACTATTTTATATTTGAGAGATTCTTTGTTCTTATTTTAGATCATTTTAAAAATGTTAAAATGTATTTTAATTCAAAACTTATAAAACATTATACATATCAGTTTTATCATAGTGTGCAATTTACCTTTTTTTTTAAAACTATCATTATTACAAATGTTAAGAAAATAGTGTATTCTTAATTTTATTCAGTGAAATAAATACATAAAGACTATAAAATTACTTTGGCCTTTAGCATATTTTTAATGTTTTTAATCCGGCATAAAAAAGTGATTTGCAAAGTATGTAAAAAACAAACATACTGTTACTGAAACTCCTTGCTTAGAGGACAAATATTCTACACAGAAAGAAATTGTAAACATTTTTAGAAAATATAAAACATAAAAAAATAAAAAATAACCTTGATGGAAAAATCTGAAGAAAAACTGCAAAAAAAAAATAAAAAAATAAAAAATATATACTGTATATGTAGTTTTCGTGTGTGCATGGAGATGTGAGGGGAGCAGTTGCAGGGGTACAAATTCCAGATTTTGTCATGAGGCCCAAACCTCCTAGCACTGCCCCTGTCTATATCGTTTGATAGATTCAACAGTGAAGGAATTCCCTCTAGATTGTAAACAAGGTTTGGATTTTATTTCTCTCTAATAACAAAAACCTCCATTAAAACTGCATGTGTTTCTACTGTCTTTAACCAATATCACAATTTGCACGCCATGTATTGAAACACTTTGGTGTGATAAATTTGATAAATAAGAACTCATGAAGAGGAAACCACATTTTAAAAAAACTGTATATAGATTCAGGCCAATGATTAAAGCTACTTCAGCTCCTTTAAAAACAAGCATCCAGTGCCTGAAGCTGTGCTCACTCTGATCAACATTATTACCATCCTAATTTCTCAACAGCAGTTATAATTTCTCGTTTCCCGATTCACGTCCCAATTCATAGCAGGTCTGTTTCCATCCGTTTCCTCCTGGTGTGGGAGTTTTTAAGTCCTGCTGCTTGCAGAGTTGGATCTTCCTCAGCAGCTGGTTCGCCCGCAGCCTTTGGTTTTCAGTCCAGGCTTGCTACACAATTACCATCCCTCACCGTCATTTGCATAGAGTGTAAGGGAAGGTATGGAAATGTGTGGTAGCTACATTCCCCGCAGCTAAGGTTTGAAAATCTAACCTGCACATTAAGGTGCTTCTGTTCACAGCAGCAAACCGTAAAAAAGTGGGGGGAACTAATTTTGATAACACAACAGCTGAGAGCCTGGAGATGCTGCTGCTAACAACAACATCAAGTTAATTTAATGACTCCCTCATGACTGCCCAACTTTAATGGAAACACAGCGTACAACTTGTGAATACTCTCTTCTCAAACTGAAAACATCTACATTCAATTTGCATTCAGCAGATCCTTTTACCCAGAGCAGATACAAATAAGGAATGGAGAATTTAGTATTAGCGATTGTGAGAAAGTCTGCTAGAAGAGAGGAGCACTAAGACTGCATTTACACTGCTAACAAACTGCTTGGAAACAGAAAAGCATGAAGCACTCTTAATTTTTTTTTCTCCTGCCACTTTTTCTTAAACTCAAATGCACTGATCTTGCATCATATCCTCTCATCCTGCAAGCAAACCACTCCACGGCCAGGATCAACCATGCCGAGACCAGCAGTATGCATGGATCCAAATGCACGGTGTATTAGCAGAAACACATACAGCAGCAAATTAATGAATTGAGGATCAAGAACAGGATGCCATTAAAGTTTATCTACAAGTAAAAATACTTTCTGCAACATATTGTTTGTCTGATTAAAATAACATTAAAAGTAGGTATTACAGTATTAGGTATATTTCATTTTGTTCAGATTCCTTTTTCTCCAAAGATTTTTCATTAGTCTGATTTAATATTGTTAATGTTAAAGTTGGTTTCCATTACCTGTCATTGGAAAATGACCGTCAACACAAATACAAGTTTGAAAACAGTCTGTTTAAATTATTTAATGTGTTTCATTTGGAAACAAGCTATAAATATACAAACCTTTAATATTGTTTCAATATTCTGCATATTACTGTATATACACAGTCCATGAGGTGGCAGCTCTGTTTTCCTGTTTTCTAGGCAGCTCTGCAGTTAAAGGAAGGGCTGGTAACAACAACAAATAAAAATACTCCATTGCCATGTGGTTCTGGTTTTCCAATCTCTTTTGTTTTTTTCTTTCCATTTGATTTCAGACCAATAACTGTCTAACATCAAATAATTTCCTTCAACTCCATAGAGACTACATTTTTAACCAGCTGTAAATATAACTTGAAGATTTATTACTTAGTCATATATTTTTTTTTATCTTCATAGTTGTTTTAAGAGACATTATATATGTTTTTTACTGAAAAATATCTTAAAATACCCTTTTTATTCTGTCCTTTATGACTAAAACATTGTTTGATGAACAGATTGACACCTAAGTAGTTCAGCGCCAATGCATCCATAAGCCTGTAGTCTATTATCCTGCATTCACTTGGGGTCAGAAATTTCTGCACTCTTCGGCAGATGCGATATCAAATGTTTCTATGTTAAAAAGAAATCAAAGCATTATATTAATGATATAGTGGAGGATGTCCTTTTTCAGGGTTGATCATGGTAGCAACATGCTAGGTGGGTGCCCGTTTTATGGAAGAGTGAAGCTGGTCTGAGTTGATTGATGGAATGTCATATGACTTGTTGCTATATATATATTTTTTTTATCATATTCAGTGTAAAGAATTCCACTTAAAGGTATAGTGGAGGATGTTCTTTTTCCGGGTGGATCGTCAAAATAAGTGGTCCTCCTAATTGTCAATCATTCTGGTGATATGCTCATCCCCATTTTGACTTACAGGTGGTGAGCCTGACAGTGGAAAAATTGAAAATCTTCTTTTGTAAAGTAAGCTTGTTTGAGCAATGCAAACAGCAACTTTTAAACAGAGCTTGCACAAGGAGTAATGAGCTTGTGCACACTAACAAACGTTTAATAAGTGTTCCCTCTCGAGAGCGGGTACAGTGTTGTGCATGTATTTTAAACTTTTTTTAAAAGTAGTTTGGGGGGGAGGGGTCTTTTCAAAAATTCACATAAATTCTCCACTATACCTTTAAAGATGGATTTTGTGGATAATAATATGTCCACATCTGATGTGGACACTGATGGCCGCTCCAGGTAAGGTGAAAAGTACGAGAACGGGCTATGAGAAGGAGCAAAAAAATGGCTGCAGTTCTGTGTTTTGGCCACAGGTGGCAGTGTCATTAGAAAACTCTGTAACTCCTGTTCAAAGCAAAATTAGCTTAAATCCTAGCCTTTGTTTTTGATCGGGTATCGCTTTCTCAGAGTGTAAATAGAGCATTGTGCCTGAAACTTTGAATGGTGTCCTTAATCACCATGACAATGTGATGCTGATGCTTTGTTCTAAAAAGACTCATGGCTTAATGTTAAATAAAACTTTGTTAGAAAAAAAAAATCTTTAAAAGTCATCAGATATTTCTCCTAGACTTTGTTCTACAATGTTATTAGATGCTCATGCATGCATGCAGCTTTGGGTTTTTTTTTTGTTTTTCTCCAGCCAGATATGACTAACACTTGATGAACAGTCTACTTTGAAAAATTAAGTCTACATACAAACTTGGGGAATAAAGCTTGGGGAGGGAAAGGTTATTTGCCATACAGATATAAAGCAGCAGCAAAGTGAACACTTCAGCTGAACCTTTCCAACCGTCTGAAACTAATTTGGATCATAAAATTACTACAAGACTCCTGAGTCTTACTCTCTTAAAATTATTTTTGCTGCTTCTTCGTAAACACATTTATTGCATTTGATATGGAGTGCTGGCCCATTGCCTCGTGTCTTGAGTCCATTTTGTGTCTAACTGTGTCTGTAATTTTTAAATTCATTTACCACACAGCTGTGCAAGCCAAACCAGGCACAACGTACAACATCTTAAAACATCATTTTAGAACCACTGTTTCTCCCTTGTGTGCAGTCTAAGCTTCACATGGATGCAAATAAACTAAAATTTTTAATTATTTACAATTTGGTTTAAAAACACACAGTGGAGCAACTTGTGGGAATGTAAAGTAAATAAAAGGCTCTGTTGGGTTTCTGATTTTACATTCAAACATGTAAGGCTTTTTGAGACTCTGTTGCAAGATGTACATGTTTGATTTGTTTTGCTCAGGCTGGCTGATGGCATCGGTTGTCTGGTATTGCCATAGAGCCTCTGGAGATGTGAGGGCTAATAATAACCCTTGCCACCACCCTCTGTGAGGCGGAGAGGTTTCAGACCTGAAAGGTGGAGGATATTCAGAGCATGCAAAACGACTGATTGGAAAGTTTCCGATTGTCTCCAAGCTCCAATCACACCCCCACCCCTTCCCCTTTAGTCATCTATTCCATCATTCTGTCTTTTCTTCTCTTGTTCTGTCCCCAGGGGTAACATTTGTGTGCGTTTGTGTGTGTTTTTTCTGTGTAAGGCGGGTTTGGTCCCGCAAGGAGCCAATTAAAGCGCAGACTTGGCCATGAGCATGAGAGCCACAGCTTAGCAGTGTGTGTGAAACTGAAAGGTTGTGTGCGTGCGTGTTTGTGTGTCGCTGTATGTTTTTCGATGTACCTTCTCGCACTTACAAGAAAACAAAAAACAACAGCTGTGAAAGAAATAATACCTGGAGGAAATGGCAGGGAAAGATTGCCAATCATATGCAGGCACAAACACACACAGGTATATACCCACCTTGTCATGATGTGCATCAAGAAACTCCCTAACGGCTGCTAGCGCCTCGTGCACTGCCTGTTCAGGTGGATACCCTGCCCAAACACACACAGTATCACAAATGTGCAAAAACAGGTGCAGAAACAGAAATGTGTCATGGCACTTGGCTGTTTTCTTTTTTGCAGACAAATAAAAAAAAAAAATGTGTTTTTGCTCCCCTAGCCTCTGTGTTCCGTCTCCTCTGTCTGCCCCGTCTCATCCAGGAAGAAGCAGACACAACACACTTGTTGGTTAAGAGGAGACAGACAGCAGGACTGTATTACTGCTGCCATATATATTCAGCAGCTGAGACCTTTCACCAGAGATAAATCTGCAAAAACTCATCTTCTGGCTAGACGAACAATTTCAATATGGCTAAAAACATTCAGTTCTACTATGGGCCATCTGTGAGAACCAAATGAAACAAGACTTTAATCTAGTGAGGTATGTTATATAGGTCGGATACAGTGCTTTGCAAAGCTATCCATACTACTTGTCCTTTCCACACAGAGTGTGTTCCAGACATTTATAAACTATTGCCACATATTTGCATTTATTTTATGACAACGGAAAGTAATAATCCAACACAACAAGTTCAGGACTTCATAATACAGCAAAAATGCTGTTTTAAACATCTATTTTTAAAAACAAGATCGGTAGATCTGTAACAATAGCTGTGAGCATTTGGGAGAATGTAGCTGACAGCTTTACATACAGACTTCAAGGGCTGAATCTTTAAAATGTAAATAAAAACATGACTAAACTTGATAGCGTGTACAAAGCTGAGCTATTAAATAAGCGGAGCAACAAGGACAACGTTTTAGTCCTTGTCTTCATATGCTAAGGATTACAATGCACAAATTAAAACAGGAGATGCTAATGTCATTCTTTACCACCTGCGTAGTGATTGTCCTGCAACAGATTGCAAGCATAGCATAGATTTTATCTCTATTAGTAGCTTGTTTTGTCTTGAACAAAAGAACACACATTGAACAAGCTGTTTCTCTTTCTGGCCTTTGAGTTTTATTGGAGAACATTAAAGAACAAATATCTTAAGTGCAAGTTTATTTGTAAAGCACAATTCAGTATAAAGACAATTCAAAGTCCTTTACATTAGTTAAACAATAAAAGAAAGACCAAGAGCACAACAAATAAAGCTTAGGAAAAGCAGATTTAGGTTAGAAATATATCTGAAACTGTTCAACACGTCTTGGACAATGTTTAGTCTAAAATAGATAGGATAGAGGAAACCGATCTTGATAAGAGTAACGATGTTGAGAGAAGCAACCAAGCCTTGGTTACTCTGGAGGAGCTGCATGTGTTGACATGAAAACTAGTAACTGCATTCAAATTCTCCTTCCACTAAAGCTACCACAAACACATCTCTTTATATTATGTTGGTTCATCGTCATCTTTTCCTAATCACACAGATACTCTGCCCTTTAAAAAATATTTTTAAAGCAGTGAGGCACAAAGATTTGCCGGATGAGGCATTTATGGTTGCCTCATGGGGTGGAAAATCATAAACTGAGAACTGAACCTTAGCACCAGTTCTGGCAAAGCAAAACACTGGAACCACTTTAGTGGAAAGAACCCAACAGCAAAGGTCCTGAAGGGGGAGCTCAAACCCCTGAAGCCCCTCCATTTCTGCACTAATGCCCTTCAAGCAGCCTGACGCCCAAAACTCTAGTGAGAAAAGAGTGGAAGTGGTGAGGTGAAACAGGTGCAGCAGAGAGGAAGAGATAAATTAAAAACCAAATTAATCAGGACCTGTTGGTATTCCAGCAGAGAGGTGTCAACCAGAGCTCATAGCTCCAAGCTGTGTTTAAGCACCATCACATAACTGTCTTTTCTGCCCGCGTGAAAGAGATTATAGTCACTCTGACACAATCTCCAAACTAATCTATTATAATCTGCCTGTCATAATCCCAAGGCATTAATCTGTAAACCACCTCAGGGTTAGAAGAGAGGAGAGACTCTAGTTTAACAGAATGATACAAGAAACAAGACAGTAATGAAACACTTTCAGAGATGGACAGAGAGGCATCACTGAGGTCTGAGGAGGAGACACAGATACTGACCGTAGATTCCAGTGGAGATGCACGGGAAAGCCTGCGGAGCAGAGAGGGTGGAGGAGACGGTCAGACCTGCTGCTCAACATGGAACAGCAGACTATCACTTCTCATTACCACATAGAGGCCTTTTAACACAGTTTGTAGCAAAAACTCCCTGAATTTTCCAGAATCACTTTCTAAATAATAATTTTTATACAAATTATTTTATTACCAAGATTTTATAATCAACAATAAATCACAACATAATATTGGAAGAGTTATAAATGGCTGCTTTACAGTTATCTGAAGAACCTTAAGACTTCAGTCCAGGTAAATAAAAGTCTTTAAGAGCAGCAGATGTTACGTGAGCTTTTGAAATGAATCGAATGATAATTCTGTCCACTATGGGAAATTTCATGTTTGGAGTGTTGCAATTTTATGTAAATTTCTCAGGTTTTAAAATAAAAAAAAGCAACATTACATAACATGTGTTAAGATGTTTTCCTCTACTGGGTGTTATTTTTGTGAAAAATATATTTGAAAAAAGGACAGTTTCCAACGTAACGATAAGAAAAAAGATCTAAAACAGGAATACTGGTAGGTTTGGTACTAAGTGGTAGATATTAAACACAATTATACAGTAAAATAAAAAACTGGAAAGCTGGTAAGACTTGTATTTGTTTTTGTGTTGTTTAAAGAGCATAACATACTGTTGATTTTAATAAAGTCCAAAGAGGCAAGAGAGTGCAGACACCAAAGCAGGAATTTTTGTTTTTTAGAAATTAGGAGATTTTTTGTCTACTAGAAAAATAACTGGAAACTCAGTTTAGTATTTTTCTGTACTCATTTAGACCTGGCAAATCATTAAAGTCGTAGGGAAGCGGCTGTTCCAACCCTTGCATTTCCGAATTCTCCCGAGTGGTGCACGACTTTACACGAGTGAATAAAGTGAATGTGAATGGTTGATTATTAAGGGGGCGGGATTGTTGTGGCAGAAGGTTCACAAGCATGCTTGGTTGTGGCCGGTTTCTCTAAAGCAGCTTGCTAACCAGTTAGCAACTTAGTGCTAGTAGCTTCCCAATGGGAAATTCCATTAGGACCAAGTAGCACTAAATTGGTGACTTAGAAACGACACTGTCAAGGAATGCTATGGACAGTGGAAACATGCAAGAGGAGGAGAGCTTTGTGTCGGAGGTCGTGGATGAGTCTCCTCCGTCAGACATTTTTTATTTAGAGGAGGAAAGCGGGGACGAAGATGTTGTGGAAGAGGACGCCAGGGCGGCAGAAGCTTGGTTTGGTGTAGAAGGCTTACAGCCGTACATGTTTGAGCCCTGGCCTCGCAACGCTGCCAGTTCTGTTAGCTCTACGCCTGCCGAAGACACAGACGTCCATCCCCATGAACACTGGGACGGAACTCAATGGTAAAGTCAATGATTCTTATTTCAACTGTTGCTTATATTAGCTGGGAAACATGAATCAAGATGCTATGACCAAAAAATTTGATTGACAGATGATTGTTGATATATGATTGGCCGAATTTAGGTGTTCAAGCTGGCGTATAACTAACTGGCCTGCATAACATAACGGGAAAAAAACGTGTTTTTTTTTAAATAGAAATTTTCTAAATTTTGGGACAATATAGTCTGATAAAGAATACATTTATATACATGTTTAAACCAGAATGATTTGACATTTAAATAAGACTTCCCTACGACTTTAAAGTCTATTTTTTATTTTTCCGGATGCTTTCTGCTACTTCCCCTCCCTCATGAAAACCAACCAATGTAGACCAAATCTTATCGTTCTCTTCATGGATGAATTCATCCCCTCACTATTCTGAGCAGATGCTCAGCTTAACAATGTCAAACAGTGTTGCGGTTTGTGGATTTCTGCATGGTCACTGTTAGAGATGATTTTATTTTGCTGACTTAAACTGTTCAATTAGAGTTTCTGAGCTGCATCCTTGGCAGGCTTAAAGCTTTTTCAGCTTTCTGTTTATGAGCTGAGGTCATGGTAATCACAATGTGTCTTTGGGGTCATGTTATCGTTGTATACTCTGACTCAGCTTCAGGAAGTCTGCTGTGCTACTTCCAGAGATGTCTGTGAATAATTATTTTCAAATATAATCAGCTTAAAGAAACAACTTGGACTCTCAATACTGGAGTCTTTATCAGCAGGCAGTACTTAACCTCAACCAAGCAAAAGATCAATACAAATTTAGTCCAAGAGCAAGAGAGATTCAAAGTATTTCACATAAAACACACCAAAACAAATAGAAAGAGAAATTGATATTGGTTTGAAGGTTTGAGGAAACATGTTTAACAGTAATGAGGGGACATTTGAAGTGTGCATTATGTTTCTTCAAGATAAGGGTTATAGAATCAAATAAAAAAGTTAACAGTAGGATAAAAGCAAAGGAGGAATAAAAATAAATTAATGCAAAACAAAAATAAAAATGAGTTAAAATACTATAAAACAAAAGAAGCGAAGTAAAACCTACATTTAATTTAAACATCTGGAATTAAATGTATTTTTTCTTTAATTGCAGCAAAATGCATATTTAATAAAAAAATATTTTAAACAATAAGCAAATAATACATTTGCAATTGATTGAATATCAATTGCAAATTCATTGTTTGAATAATAACAATGAATTTGGATACAATACTTATTTGGCAGGGTATCATTAATAAAGACGGGGGTTGTTTACTATTGAATCAATAATATATCACACAACCTTAAAATATTGTAATATTTTATAACTTGTATATTTTTTAAATGTAATATTTCGTAACTGTAATAATTGGGTTATTTGTTTAGCATTTATTTTCACACCTATTTATTTTTGGGATTCTATTACAAAAGCCTGTTCCATGTTGAGATTTAAAACAGTGAGTTTTTCATGTAAATAAAAATGTTTTTATACCTTTTATTGTTGTTTGCTTTTGTACTGTATGTGAAAAAAGCCTCTTGTTTGTTAAGGTATGAAAGGTAAATAACAATCAAACAACCTAATGAAATATTCCTTCTTTAGCCAGAGCGGTGCTTCAGTTTAGGACCAGAGATGAGAATTATGAATCACAATCAGTTGAAAACACCAAAATCTTTGGGTTGCAGGTCATCGTTTAAGACTTTTGTGATCTAAAAGTCAGATATGCGTGTTCTAACCCTTTGCACAGATGACTGATTACACAGAGACCTCAATGGACAGGCAGGCAGGAGAGAGAAAACTTGAAACAATCTTGGATATTTGGAATTATTTTAACACAAAAAACTCTAAAAGCTTGTTTGTTGTAAATGTTCATATCTGTCAAAAACAAGATGATGGCATGAATGCAAAGGCAGCTTTAACACATTCCTCACTGTGATCCTGAGGATAAACTGATTTTGGACAAGTTAATAAAAAACACACACGATAGACCCTTGATGCTGCTGACAAGAGTGGTATTATGTGATAATAACACAGATATGATGAATGCAACCAGGCTTGCCTGTTTGCAGAAAAAGTCTGATAAAACTGTAGGCAGACAAACACTGCGGTGTCTGAGTTTTATAGGAAATGGCAAGAGGGAGGTTTTCCTTCATTATCTGATCTGCTTTCAGAACAAAACAGATACTGGTGAACAGAGTTGTTGGCTCTGCCATAATGTTTTTGCTTTGAAAGAACCAGCAGGAGTCAGACAGTTGCAGGCTTTTTTTTATTTTTTAATATTCACTGATTATTGCACAGGTACAAACGTGTGTGTGACAAGTATTTGTCACCATATGGGGACAGCTAACGACCAATTTCCCATAAATATCCCGCTTTATTGGGTCTTACAATGAAATGGTCCCTATGAGGAGGTCCCTGTATGAGGAAAAGTTCTCTTCTTGGGTTACAGGTTAGGCTCAGGACTAAGGCGTGCATTTAATTCAGGTCAGGGTCAGGGTTAGGGAGGTGGTCTCCATCAGGCTATAGTAATGAATGCAAAATGAATGGAAGCCAATGGGAAGTCCCTGTCAGAATGGCAGGACATAACGTGTGTGTGTGTGTGTGTGTGTGTGTGTATCCTAGTGTGTGTGTGGAGAGTAAATGTATCTAAATGGAAGGCTGCTCTGAAATTGACTTCCATGGAAATACAAGACTTAGACCACAGATCGCTGATGTGATTCATCTCATTTCATCTCATAACTGTCTATTGGGCTGTTTTGAGTTTATTTTAAAGGGATTTACAGTCCTCCCTATGTGGGCATTAAAGTCATTTCCTCATTCAGAGGGGCTGCACAAGGATTCCTTAATGAAAGCTAGATATCCTCATTTCACCAGAAGTAATATGAGGATGAAATGGTCAAAATTAGACATGAATTTACAAATCATCTCTGTCTATTAGAGCGTCTCTAATGTATTACAGCATATATGACTTGATTTAATCCTCTGTCTGACGGGAGAGCAGTATAATAATAACTTTTTTTTTTCTGGAGAAGAGCAAGAAAAGTATTTTAATTGTGCTAAAATTGAGAAAATTGTATTTAATTATTTTGCAGTTACTGAGCAGCTAAGTTGAACTAGAGGTAAAAAAAAAAAATTGCATTTCTCATTCTTTTAGAGCATTTCTATTTTAACCAAAAACATCTACCTAATTATATTTATAGTAAATCAATCAATAAATAGTAGAAAGATCATATATACTAGATTGGAAAAAAGGTTTGGACTCTTATGCTTTTTTAAGTTGACCCCTGACTAATGGAGCAGCTGACAGAACATAAACACAAATCAGTGCATGCATTTTAATAAGTATGAACCTTAATGGGTCACTGTGTTAGTAATGGAGAAAACTACAAAGATTATAAGCAAACCTAAAGGGGATCAACGGCATCAGTGTGTTAATTTGTATAATTCATGTGCAGGACTGTAACTTTGAGTCAATAAGACCCATGTTTAGCAGAATCCTGTAAACCCACAGCTTGTGTCGTGAGTCAAGCTGCCAGAAAACTTCTCATTTGGCAGCTTCTCAACCTGCTGTCAGATGAGGCAGCGCAGGCAGATGCCAGGACACCCGCGCCGCACCCCCCCCCGTCCAGCTCAGATCATTTAACCTGACTGCTGAGCTTTAACACTCAGTGATGGCAGATGTGACTCACAACTCCCTCAAGGCCAAACAGAAACATATGACTTGCCATTTTGTGAATGTGCAGAGATGACTGTTGCATCTGTCTGTAGATTTGTCAGAAATGAAACAATGCAGCAGCTGTCGATAAAATGATGTGTTAGGCTTCATTCTTAACTTCTACATTTCTGCCTTGGCTTTGGTTTTATTTCTATGTTTCTAAGGTGTTTTTCTCCATCTCTGTTCTCTGTGAAACATCCAATCTGGCATGTTCGGTGTAACCTAACAATGCAACCCTCCCACTCCATTTTCCCTTTTCTTTATGTGCCACAGCATGAACAGAGTGTTCTTTGAAAAGGCTACATGTGATCAATCTTTTTCTCTTTACCTCTAGCGTTCCTGCAGCTACAGAAACTCACCTTCCATCCAGCTCAATTATTTGTTTTTACCTTTCTTTTTCTTTCTGCTTTAGAGATCTCTGTGCTTTGTGTATTTTAACTTTGTCACCATGCCTGTCTCCTCCTCACTGGTTGCTTCCTTTTAGATTGATCTCAGCCAGATGTTCTCACCACAGATCGAGCAGTGTTTTCGGTGGCAGCCAGCAGGCTGTTCCTGTAGCATGACCTTAGAGCTCTTCTCTCCTCCTCACCAACTCCTCCCTGAGCGATCGGCCCCACGGTGTGGATCACATCTGGAGACACAGATATAAAGTGTTAGAAGTTACCACTGTGCTGTTAATCATCCATTCAGATGAATTAGTTATTTCCTTTAAATGCAGTCAAAATCCAAAACTAAATGTTTCTGGGGAAACTAATTTTCTCTCCAGTTTCTAATATTTTCAGGAAAACCTTATTTTCCCATTTTTATTGTAACCCCCACATGTGATTCATTCTACAGGACTTGAACCATTTTTAATTTAAAAAATGAAACGACATTTTAAAGTAGAGAAGATTTTTTTTACAAGCATATTTTTTTTAAGTTAGATGAAATACAATTTATCACTAAAGAAACAAGAGTTTGGTCAGGCTTCAGGTAACAGAGGACTTCCCACTGCTGGCATTGTTAGCGCTACCGCAGTTGTACACAACACTGTGAAGTGTATTGTTACAATTTCATACTGTAAGTATTTGGTGGGATTTAAATGTTTTATTTTGTAAAAGAAATTTTATATTTAGTGGGATTGGACAGTAATTCAATATCATTATGTATCACATTATAATTTCATTCAAAAATGTTGATATGAAATTTTTGATAACTTCATAAACATTACAGTTAGGGACGTCCAGATCCAATGTTGATACTGAAAATCAGTCCGGTATCAGCAAAAAATGAATATTATTATAATACTATTATATTAAAAACAAAAAATTAGCATCTATCTGCTTTCTTTGGTGAATAAGACTTATTTTCATACCTGAAGTTGTTAGTTATTTTTTGTTTAATATGATTTGATCAAGCCTTTTGTATCATTCCACAATATTAAATAGTATGCATGATTAATACTGACATCATATCAGATCAATATTGGTATCAGTTGATACCCAAAGATGAAATATCAGTATTGTATTACAAATATTGTATTGGGACATCCTTAATTAGAGTCCATCATTACAGAATTTATCACTGACTGGTTTTATGGGTTTTACTTAGCTTTATGTGTTTTGTTTTTTAAAGCAAATGTTTCTCAAATGTGACATTACAGAAGTTTTATACACTTTGTAAAATAGTCGTCATGAGTTTGTATAAGCACGTATTGAGGTCATTCTTGGCAGTCATTCTGAGGCCTTTATTTTGTTTATTTCAATTATATTTTATCAACCCAAAGTAGGAAATATATTATGACATGAGCTTTGGCCACAAAGTTCAGTCCTTATTATAGGAGAAAGAAAATCTTAGTAAATGCTTTAAATCATCGACTTATTTAACACTGTTATGTTTATTAGACAGCGCTGCGCAGTGTATGAAATACAACAACCACAGAGGGTTTCATGTATGTAATATTAGGTAGAATATTACATTTAAGGTGTCAAAGCATACTGAGAAAATATATCAGCTGTTGGACGGACTGTTACTGCTCTTAATGCTCTCAGCTAAACTGAGATATTAAGAGTTAGAGGCATAAATGAGAACTTTAACTGTAAAACAGCAAAAACAAAAGGTGGCCGGAAAATCAGGACAATTCTATTAGACATAAAAATTTCTAGCAATAATATTGCAACAAAATATTTTATAGATATCCTGCAGCCTGACATGTACAACTAGAAATGACCTAAATAGCACCTGATTGTTGTGGATTTTGCTTTCATTTAAGGCCTTTGAGCTCATTCGGATAAATTGCAAAAGGAACGAGAAAAACAACAAATGCCAAAAGAAAATTCCTGACAGGAAAAGGTTAAAATTGTGAGCAACATTTGACTAATTCCACAATTCCGGCCTTGTGATCCGAATGCTTACACAGCCTGTGATCTTTCTGTAGGTCATGTATGATGGGAAAGGTCAAAGTGTTCAGCCACAGCTGTGAATCCAGGTTATGTTTAAAGTGAATGTATGATACTAATAGGTCTACTGATATCTATCAGTGGGGAAAGGGTTCCAAAGAGATGGAACTGTGATTAACTTGTTCTCACATTACCTAAAAAAATGTCTCAAAGAGCAGATTGGTAATTCATCCAGGAGGTCACAGAATGAAAATGAACAACATCTAAATCTCTGCAGTCCTAAACTGCCTTTGTAAAGGATCACATTTATGATTTAGCCATGAGAAAAAAGACTGGGCAGAATGCCATCAGAGGTCTAAGGGGAAAAGCACTGTTGACCAAGAAGAACACAAAAGCCTGTTTTATATTTACTGAAATAAAATCTAGAATCCCCAAGACATTGGTGGATGGAGATGTCAAACAGGGAACTCTGTACTGCTTAAATCAATTAAAGTGTTTTTTAACCTGTTTAGTACTGCTCTGCCTCAGAAAACATTACAGCTTTAAGATTAGATACAGCTGCAAAGCTGACAAACTGCACAACAGAAGCAACAACACCTGGAAGGAACAACAATGCTATGTTTACATCAAACGTGATTTGAGCAGCAAAAAAAGAGCTTGCTGCTTCATTTTTGATGCTTGTACATATTAAGGTCAGACGCGACTCAAGAGCATCTTTGCTGCACCAGAAGCATGTCCAGTAAAGTGTGTACAGACATATCTGATGCTTCTGCTGCCGCTGTATTCAATGTCAGAGTGGCTTTGCTATATTTGCTGTGCTAAGTCGGTAACAAGTAGTTTTAATATGTTTTTAAGTGAGAAAGTCCACCCAAAAAATATAATCTGTGCAGTCACTTCATCCAGATTACGATCCTGACTTCAGATATTATTTCACTGTCAGAACCGTGCATAGCAACATATTGAACTGCATCAGTAGCGCTGTGTCTGTCTCCCTGCCAACTCACAGATAAGCTTCTCTGATTGGTTGATGTGGTACGTTGCATGTTAGTCGATGCAGCACAAGTTATAATTTTTCCAACTCCAGCAGCTGCTGCTTGTGAATGGCGTCACGCGCCTCAGATGCTCAGAACCTCATGAGGCACTGCTTCAGCAGCTCCGATGCATCGAGGTGCACTGCTCCTGCTGCTCGAGACGCGCTGCAGGAACTTTTGATTCCCCTTGATGCGCGTCAACCATAGCCTTTGCATGTAAACCGTCTGCTTCTGCTGCTCAAATCGCGTTCAGTGTGAACGCAGCAATAGGGTAACGGGTTTTGTTTTGTGACTAAGGCGCTAAGAGGTATCTGCTTTAAGGAAAACACTTTCTAAAGTTAAAATCTTTAGGAATTTTTTTTTAATGTAAAACACGTTAGGTCTGATAAATCAAACGCTATATTTTATTTCTTTCACCCTTCAATAGCCTTCAAATATAGTATAATACATGTTTGGGGATTTGTTAACATGTAGGTGTTACTCCACCAGTTGATGTTGGGTAATATCCTCATCAACCCTCCTTCGGGTCTCTCATACAATTTTTCCTAATTTGATGACCTGATTAAGTATAGAGTAAATGAATTGAAATTAAATTTATTTGTGGGTGGGAGTATAACAGAATCTCATAACAACACTCAGAGAAAGAAAGCCATAGAAATGTGGTTTAACACGTAGACGCAGCCACCACAACACATTGTGATGAGACTCAGCATGATGCTCTCAGTGTGAAACCCACTGCTGTCATAAGACCAAGCTGGACCCACACTCTCAAAACAACAAAAACACAGACAGCGCGATAGAAATGTTCACAACCAAGACTTTTTCCCACATCAGATTCCGTTTTTTATCATTTAGGGCAAAATAAATGTATTTGTCCACAGATCTTGTCTGACACTTGGAGCCTCAAGAAATATATATATATTTGCTCACACAAGTGCATTATTTTACCTAAAATGAATAAATCATCTTCCTATTTGGAGATTAAAAAAATTCTGATATCCACCGCCCCAGGAGAAATAAGAAGCAGCCCAATCAATCAGGCGAAGGTATATCAACCTGCCTAGTATGAGATAACACAAGAAACAACAGGGCAGATACCTTTTCTAATATACCTGGAGGCTTCAAATAATTTTCTCCTAAACAATGGTTATTGACAATAAGAGAAGAGGATTTGTATGGTGTCAATATTATTTGACTTTGTGATAAACTAATAAAAAGTTGAAGTTTGTATGCAGGGGTTTAACTGGGATGCAATTTTCTCCATCCCAGCCTTATTACATTAATATAGACCCAGGATTGATCACTGACTTCCCCACTCATCTCTGACCATGGAAATGATAAATTAAGACTTTTTTTTTATCAGTAAGTATATGATATAACCGTATATCCAACCCAATTGGATAGGAAACCTGTTTAAACATTTTTAACCTTTGAACATAGGATATGTTTGGATTAAACAGATGAAACTGTGTTTGACTCTGTTCCTTTAGCTGTATTTCTGTCCCTTAGCTTTCAATCAAGAAACTTCATTTATTCAGCATTTTCAAAGGATGCTTTATTCAGTTGAGGAGCAAGAAATGTAAAAAAAAAAAAACTATAATTTCCTTTTTTTTTTCTTTAACAACAATTTTAAACTTAATGAAGAAAAAACAAATAGCTTTAAGAGGCATGCTTCTGTTAATAAAATGCTATAAAAATAAATATGACCATATATGGAGTGATGATGTGACATCTGGAATGGTAGAGGGTGAGTTCTCATAAAAAGAAATATGACTTTTTAATTGTAAAAAAATACTTTATCAAAAGGTTGTGATGGTTCTAGACCACATTTACCAAGGATGGCAGAGTGGAGCCAGTTTTTTTTTTTGTTTTTTTTTTATGGGGGCATAGAGCAAAAGAAAGAGACAAGCAGGACAATAGTTCTTTGTTTAATATAGTGTATTAATTGAGCCAAAGAAGACATTTGTTCTCCAGATTCGCAGTTTGCAAAATCCAGCAGAGGAACACTGAATCCATAAGGCTTAAGCTAAAACTGCCACACATTTACTTTTAAATTATTTGTTAAGATAAAACAAGAAAGGTAACAATTTATATATATATATATATATATATATATATATATATATATATATATATATATATATAT